CTATTCTATTCTATTCTATTCTATTCTATTCTATTCTATTCTATTCTTTCCAATTACTGAATTCATTGTTCCTCTCCCTTTAGCATCCCATAACATTTTTCCTTCATTAAGTAATCCAACTCCATTAAGTAACCCAAGCATCTTTCTCCGCTTTATTCTTCATCATAATTTGATTGTGATGATTTTTAAGTAATCACATTTTACCAAAATAGTTTGTTTCCTTTGATCATTTTGTGTAGTAGAAGTACTGTTGTGGGTGTGTATTGGTATGTATGTGTGCTTGCACATAGTATGCCAATACCATTACAAGACAGAATAAGACTTTCAACATAAACTTTACGAAGGGATGTAATGGATTTTTTTCTGTGGATTTCTTTTTACCAATGCTCCTCTTATGCATCAATCTTTTTCATTTTAAGTCGCATGCCCCTCTTAATGAGGAACTGCAAAGGAGAAATAAACCAAGACGGTGCTAGGCCAAATCATGAAAGATTCCACCCTGAGTTAGTTGTCTTGAGAGAAGCAGTTCTGCTTTTGAGCAAAAAAAAAAAAAAAAGATTAAACCACGCAAAACCAGCCGGAACTTAGAAAAAGCCACTCTAGTTTTTGACCTAATTTCCTCAGTAGAAATCTCTATAGCTATATGAGGAATTCTGGGAATTGAAGTCCACAAGTCTTAAAGTTGGCAAGTTTGGGGACCCCTGCTCTATGGCAAAGTAGCTCAGTGTCCTGTTTGCTTCAAAAATATTAGCGTTGCACCTGAGTCTTATAATGTGTTCCATCTACTATACTTTTTTCAATACTCTTGCTTCAAACAAGCTACCACATGAAGATAAGGTGTTGTTGTTCTTTGTCATCTTGCCTATTGTGCACCAACAGGTGTTATAGAGCAGAATGCATTAGTTTTCTATGAGTGATTAGAGCTCTGTAAAAAAATATGAGTGTCCTGGCTTCAACTTCACAACCACCATTTCGTTTTGCTTACTGTACAAAAACATAAAGTCCAGGTTACTATGGATGGTGCTTGTTAACCAAGTTTTGAGGCTCACCTGATAATTGGTACATATTCCAAATATGAAACATGACATCTTGGATTGCTGGAAAAAGTAATCTGGAGTACAACTGGAATAATGGGAGTCGTATTTCTCGGCCACTGATAATAATAGTTATATATATCTCTCCATTCTTCTGTTCGTAGTGCAGATAATGACTATGGCTCTTAGCTGTTGATTTTAAAAAAAACAAACCCTTATTATTATGTGCTATCTCTTTTGTATTAATTGAATTCCATGTAAAGCTGTCCTAATTAAGAGCCACTGCTACATTTAGACCAAATGGATTGAGAAGATCAAGAAAACAAGAATCCTGCTTACAGAAATTTAATTTGTAATTAAACTCCATTGGCCTGTTTTCTTCTCGCATGTGGAATAACTAGTACACTAAAAGCAATTATAGGATTGAAATTATGAATAGAAAAACTTGGCTTTGCTGCTGGAAAATATGATACGGCAGATTTTCAGAGCTGCAAACTCCATAGGTATAAGGATCATTTGCAATATGAAATGTACTCAAAACATATCTCCCTCCCCCACCTATCTTTCTCTATCTCGCTTGTCTCATCTGCTAAATTTCCTTTCATCCCCAGCCAGTTCTGAAACATTCTCTGCTAGTTTAATATATCCTGCTAAAGTTTTATGTACTAACATTAAATCTATTGACAGAGTGTTAAGTATATCTTCATATGTCAGAGGGGCTTTTTTCAAGAGGCAACTGGACTTTCTGATTTTTTTCTTTGAAGACATTTCATTTCCCATCCAAGAAGCTTCTTCAGCTTGAGTTCTGAAGAAGAGCTGAAGAAGCTTCTTGGATGAGAAGTGAAATGTCTTCACAGAAAAACTAGGAAGTCCAGTTGCCTCTTGAAAAAGCACCTTTAGGACAACCATGACCTGGATGATTGAGAATCTCCATAGACATATATCTTCATATATTTGTTCTTGAACACTGATTTATCTTTTGTAGGGTTGATTTTTGTAGCAGCCATATTAAGCATGAATGAATGACGACTACATGGATGGCAGTAGTATAACACAGACCAATGAATTCAATGAATTCAATTAATGTGTTTATTTAAATGTTGCCTCTCAAATTTAATCTCAGTTACAGTTCTGAACTAAAAGACAAAAGACTCTTCTTCCATGCCTCTTTCTGCATTTCTGAACATAATAGGGTTTTTTCTTCTTTTTCAGATGTTTGATTGGATCAGCCATAACAAAGAGTTGTTCCTGCAGAGTCACACTGAAATTGGAGTGAGCTATCAACATGCCCTTGACTTACAGACCCAACATAATCATTTTGCTATGAATTCCATGGTGAGTATATAACAGGTTTTCTCTTAGGAGGTATATGAGATAGATATAGTATAAGAGAGTAGGATATGGGGAACCAATTAAAGGAGATGAAGGAATCCACCAAATGCTTGATCAGCAAAAGATCAAATTGATCATCTTGCAGTAGCTTCTTGTTATATAAAATTTTAAAAAACTGTCTTTGAGAATAGTGCTATCCAATGAAATTTTTACCAAACATACAGTATAGCAGGGGTGTCAAATTCAATTTCATTGAGGGCCGCATCAGGGTTGTGTCTGACCTCAGGGGGTCGTGTGGTATGGCCAGGGTGGACATGTGGTTGCCCAAGTGTTCTGCCAGTGAAAACGGACTCCCGAGCTCCATTCTTGGTTGCAACAGCCTCCTGCAACCCTCTGCCAGCAAAAAATGGAGCTTGTGAGGGCAACATGCAGCCCTCCCGAGCTCCATTTTCACTGGCAGAGGCACCACTGTCTCCAAGTTGGCCCCATGGGCCAAATCTAAGCACTCCATTGACTGAACCCGGCCCACAGGACTTGAGTTTGACATCCCTGCAGTATAAAGATGCTTTTAATGTGATCATTAAATTAAAACTTAATACTCAACTAGTTTAATGTTGTACACATGTGGTTTCTGTTTGTATAACTTAATAACATCTTCTAATGAAAATGTCAAATATGACTTGAATGCCTTCTCTAATTACTTAGCCAGTGAAATGCTTATTTTCAACTTTAGTATGAATTCCAAAAAAACAAATCATTGTATACTGAAGTTTTCATTTTTATTGCTTTAATATTCAAAAATAAAGGGAGAAAAGAAAAAGAAAAACAGAAATCAAAAACAAAGGACAGCCCACAAACTGCAGGGAAACCTGGCTTCCATTCGCCCAGGCCTTCACTATGTTTCCATTTTTGGTGTTTTAAAAAAATGTTTAATTGGTTTTATTATATATTTTTTTTATTGTTGTGAGCATAAACAGAAAGAAGCTACAGACTGGTGATCCAAGAATGTAAATCAGTACATTAACATCTTTACTAAAATCTTTGGAACACAATATTAATAAGTGTAAACCAAAATAGGCAGTAAGACAAGTACATGTCATATACTGTAAGTAAGCAACTACTCACACTTTTTATATTGCCAATAAAGTGAGGCTGATAGCTGACTTTCAAGCCTTTCTGGGGGTTGGAGGGGTGTCAAGAAAAGTGAAAAATAATCTTTTGTTGAATTAGTTTCATTTTAAGATATTCTTTTAGTTCTTAGCCAATCATTGGTTGATATGGCATATTCCAGCTGGTTATTCCAAAGTTCTTGCAAACAATATCCACTTAGCAATATTCATGAATTTTTTTTTTTACAAAAAAAATACTGCAGACTTAAAGTTGTTACGTCTACAACTTTTGTTCAATTATGCTAGCTATTTGGGGTTTTAAAATTGTGCTAATGCATCTGAAGTAAACAGTGATGGGTTCAAAATGTTTTACCAGTTCTGTGGGCGTGGCTTGGTGGGTGTAGTGTGGCTTGGTGGGTGTGGCTTGGTGGGCAAGGCAGGGGAAGGTTACTGCAAAATCTCCATTCCTTCCCCATCCCACTAACCTGCTTTCCAGCTCCGTTCTCCTGTGCAGAGCAACCAAAGAAGACCCAGCCGATCAGCTGGGACTCAGGAGGCAGAGAATAGATGGGGGTGGGGCCAGTCAGAGGTGGCATTTTCCGGTTCTCGAAACTACTCAAAATTTCCGCTACCGGTTCTCTAGAACTGGTCAGAATCTGTTGAATACCACCTCTGGACATAAATCAAGAAAAGTTTTAATTAAAAAAAAACCCCACCATTTTGCAATTTTGTACAATCCCAAATTTATATTTAAACTCAATTTTGATTTTAAAAAAATCTTGACAAGATTTTGATTTAAAGTAGTGCCACCTTGCTTGGGGCAGTTTTCAAAACTCGATCATAGCAGGAAGCTTGTTATGTAATAAGAGTTGAAGAAGTCACATAATTCTCTGATTATGACCATAATACTTTTTTACAATAAATTGTGTTCCATTGAAAATGGAAAATCTAGTTGAGGTTCTTTATGAAAACATTTTTAAAGTATTAATATGCTTAAAATAAATGTATTCATCTAAGGAAATCTCTAAATAAACAGAACAACCTTGAAATAAGATTAATTGTATTGCTTTTATTTTTCCCATATTGCAGTGGGACTTTTAAACATTTTCCCATGAAATAATTCTTCCTAGATATTTAAAAGCATTCAAGCAACAGTTGAAATCCTAATTATTACAAATTTTCATACAAACATTAGCTTCCATGGGAATTGTATAACTTACTCCTAATTAATTCAATAACCTCATACGTTGCTTATATTTATGAAATATATACACCCCTCAATCAGATCAGTCCAGATTCAACAAATTTGATACAGAAAATACATAAATATAGAAAATACATAAACATCAATGAGACATATCATATCATTAACATTTAATAGCAGTTTGTGTAGTTCCAGCTACTGTTGTACTCAAAATGTTCTCCACTAATAAAGCAGACCAATTGTTTTCATATGAAATTAAAATAAGAGGATTTCAGGTAAGATTTTCAGCACTCTAGAAGTCAACTCATTTAGTCATGAGAGTTAAATTACCAAACAAAATATGCACCAGACCAAAGTGCAATGATGAAATTGTTTTTTTTAAAAAAATTCTGATACAATCACAACTTTGCATATCCCACATATCCCAATGATCAATTGTTTCCACATTTTACTTGTTGCATTCTTAACACAATCCAGCATGTGGAATAGGCCTTCTGAATTAAAATATCAGCTGAACTCTTAGGAACCTTTTAGCAATGTCCCCATTAATAAAACAGCTATAGTGTGAAATTAAATTTTGGTAGCTGTTAAGAATTCAAAGTCACTAAATATTATATTGCAATATGTAGATTAAGGATTATTCAGAAACACTTTCTATTACCATAATGCAGTATTACGTCTATAGATTAATATGTTATTAGAAAGGCAAACTGGCTTTAAAATATATTTGGGGATCTCATTAATTTAATTAGTTGCCTAAACCAAGTTACATTTTCCTTCTTAAGCACAAATCACCCTGATTGCCATTGCATATTTAAATAGTTCGCTCCACATGCTACTTATTCTAATTGAAGCTATTCATAACTGCTTTACAGAAACTGGCTTATGCTTTGATATAACCATTGAGAAGGGGAAGTCATGACTTGAGAAAAGTGTGAATGCTGTTTTCAAACATGT